TCGACCACTGCACTCCAGTCTGGGCGACAGAGTGAGACTCCAACTCAAAAAAAAAAAAGGAAGGAGGCCGAGCGCAGTGGTTCAGGCCTGTTATCCCAGCACTTTGAGAGGCGAAGGTGGGAGGATTGCTTGTGTCCAGGAGTTCAAAACCTGCCTGGGCAACATAGCAAGACCTCATCTCTATAAACAAAATCAAAGCCGGGCTCGGTGGCTCAGCCGTAATCCCGCACCTTTGGAAGGCTGAGGTGAGTGGATTGCCTGAGTCCGCGGGTTCAAGACCCGCCTGGGCAGGCGAGATCTCATCTCTACAATAAATTTTAAAAAAATTAGCCGGGCGTGGTAGCACGTGCCTGTAGTTCCAGCTACTTGGAAGGCTGAGGCGGAAGGATCGTCAGAGCCCAGCAGGTTGAGGCTGCGGTGACCGGGAGCGGCCACTGCACTCCAGTCTGGGTGACAGAGTGAGACTCCACCTCAAAAAAAATAAAAATAAAAATAAAAAAATTGGCCAGGCATGGTGGTGCACGCCTATTGTCCCAGCAACTCAGGAGGCTGAGGCAGAAGGATCATCTGAGCCCAGGAGATCCAGAATGCAGTGAGTTGTGATTGTGCCACTGCACTTCAGCCTGGGGGAAAGAGTGAGACCCTGACTCAAAAAAGAAAGAAAGAAAGAAAGGGCTGAGGGAGGGCACAGCTCTATTCACTAATTTGGAAAAACCCTATTACCCAAATAATTAAATAATCCCCAAAAGAATGTCTGGGGAGGCTTCCCCCACCCAAATGCCCATGAGAGAAAAATCTGTCAGTTGACAAACCCACTTCCGGTAAGTTTAGGCATCAGGCTACATGACTGAAAAGGTGTCAGCTATGACACTCCTGCCTATCTTTTACCTCCATCATGTCACCGAGACTCCTCCCCAGGGCAGGGATGGGTTTGCAGGACAAATGGGTACATAGATCACTGGCTCTCAGACATGGTGGAGAAGGGTATTTCGTGTGCATGGTGTCCAAACCTAAGCTGCGCTGCTCACCTGGACATCCTGTTCGGCCAGGTAATAGTCAATGATGCCAGAGTAGCTCTCACGGGCCCCCTAGGAGGAGAAACTTTTCTCAGGAGGACTCTTGCAAGGGCAGCTTTTTGCCTCCAGACCAACAAGCCCAACCCTGGTCTCCCTCAGAGCTTTCTCTGGTCCATGACAGGACAGCGATGCTCCTGGCTCCAGCTCATCCTCGTATCTGGTGCTGCAACCCCCTTCCCTTGCAGGCCAGTCCTCACCTTGGCCAGGGCCAGCAGCAGGTCCTGCAAGATGCCACTGGTCTCAGATTTGATGTCCTCTTCAGCCTCCACCTGGAAATCTGGGGAGGGGTCAGGAGCTCTCTGAATCCTTCTGAATTTTCCCAGGGTAGATATCCCCAGGACCTGTGAAATGCCTGGCCCACTGTGCCCTGCCAGTCCTGCCATCTCCTGCTTGGCGTGGGTTGATGGCTGCTAGTTCCTAGGATGTAGGACTCAAGTGCCATCATGGCTGCCCTGAAAATATCTCTAAACTGAAGGTGTGAGATGGCTTCCACTCAAGCACCAACCTGCTGGGCAGAAGACACCTGTCATGGAGTGCTGGCCAGGCTGTGAAGAGGGGGCTACATTAGGATGCAAGATGACTGAAGTCTGGCATCCTCATAGGAAGCAAGATGGGGTGTGAAGAGGGGAAAGATCAGTCGAGTGCAATGGCTCATGCTGGTGATCCTAGCAATTTGGGAGGCCAACGAGGACGGATTGCTTGAGCCCAGGAGTTCAAGACCAACCTGGGCAACATAGAGAGATGTCGTCTCTACCAAAACAAAACAAAACAAAAAATTCCCAGCTACTCAGGTGGTTAGGCAGAAGGATCACCTGAGCCCAGGAGATCGAGGTTGCGGTAAGTCATGATCATGCCACTGCACTCCAGCCTTGGCAACAGAGTGAGACCCTGACTCAAACATAAACAAATACATAAAAATAAAAGAAGGGAAAGAGGCCAGGTGTGGTGGCTCATACCTGTAATCCCAGCACTATGGGAGGCAGAGGTGAGAGGATTGCCTGAGCCAGCCTGTGCAACATGGCAAGACCCTGTCTCTACAATAAATCAAAAAATTAGCCAGCCATGGTGGTGCACACCTGTGGTTCCAGCCACTTGGAAGGCTGAAGTGGAAGGATCACCTGAGGCCAGCAGGTAGAGGTAGTGGTGGCTGTGAGCATGTCACTGCACTCCAACCTGAACGAACAGGGTGAGACTCCAACTCAAAAAAAAAAATGAAAAGAGCTGGGCTCTGTGGCTCAGCCTGTAATCCCACGCCTTGGGAGGCTGAGGTGAGTGAATTGCCTGAGCCCACGGGTTCGAGACCCG